TGGTTCTTAACCTTGGGTTACTCAGGAGTTTTGGACTGCAGCTCCCAGAAGCCTTCACCACCTGCTGTGCTGACTGGAGTTTCTGGGAGTTGCAGTTCAAAAGCATCTGAGTAACAAAGGTTAAGAGCCTCTGGCCTAGACTATAGATATATGTTCAAATTTGCTAGTCCCAGATATCAGTCTGGCCACCACATTTTGGACCTGCTGAAATTTCTGTACTGTTTTCAAAGGCAGCCCTATAAAAAGCACATTGCATTAGTTGATCATTGATATTATAAATGTGTTCACTATTATTAGGCACTTCTTACCCAGGTAGGGGCACAGCTGGGCAATCAAACACACTTGAGAGAAGGCGCTCCTAATCACAGCTGATATTTGAGCCTTCACAGCGAGCACTGGTGGTCTATATGACAGTGTCCTAGATATACCACAATGATTATAAAGAGCATGTTGCATTAGTTGATCATTGAGATTATAAATGTGTTCACTAATATTAGGTACTTCTTACCCAGGTTAGGGGCATAGCTGGGCAATCAAACAAACTTGACAGAAGGCGCTCCTAACCACAGCTGATTTTTGAGCCTTCACAGAGAGCACCGGTGGTCTTTATGACAGTGTCCTAGATATACCACAATGAAAATGTGGCACCTCTGTGTAGCAAGGTGAACTACATTTCTGGTACAATTCTCCGGCTTTCCCATGGCAATTCTAGCCTGAGGTATGCAAAACAAAGTCATAAATACAGTGAAAAATCCTAACTGTCTAACCAAAGCAATCGTTTATAAAACCTCCCAATAGCATTTTTCATCTCAGTATTTCGTATAGTATAAATGAGAGGATTTAACATTGGTGTGAGAAATGTGAAGAGGGATGAAAGGCCCTTATCTGCCACAGATTCCTGGAAGGGTCTACCATAGATGATAATGCAGGGTATAAAATGGATGCATACCAGCATAATCTGGGCCCCACAAGTGGAGACAGCTTTCATCTTACTTTCTGCTACATGTACACGTATCTTGATCAAGATGACTGTGTATGAAACAATGAGGATGATAAAAATAGTGATGGTGAGGAGTCCACTATTAGAGAATATTAGCATCTCTACAACAAAAGTGTTTGTGCAGGCCAGTCTGACCACTTGTGGTATATCACAGTAGTAGTTGTCCAAGATATTAGGTCCACAGAATGATAAGCTCATTATTAGAGGTATCTGAACGATGGAATGAATAAAGCCACCCAACCATGCTCCCAGCACCAACCCTACACATGTACTTTGTTTCATTATTGTGGGATACTGAAGGGGCTTATAGATAGCCACATAACGGTCCACAGCCATCCCTACGAGGAGGAACACTACAGCACCTCCCATGAAGTGAAAGAAGAAGATTTGTGTCACACATCCTCCAAAAGAAATAACCTTATGCTTTGATGTCAGGTCCCACAGCAGCTTTGGCACAGTGACTGAAGACACGCTGAGGTCTACGAAGGCCAAATTCCCAAGCAGGAAGTACATGGGGGAGTGAAGCTTGGAATCCACAATCACTGTGGTGATTACTGTGAGGTTACCAAACCATGTTATAATACACACTATCAAGATCACAACAAACAGGACGTGATTCAGAAGGTGGTTTGCTGAGAGGCCAAGGAAAATAAATTCTGTCACTCTGCTTGTAAAATTCTCTGGTTCCATGATTAACCCTGAAATCAAAGTACAATAATTAAAGGTCAATCAACCCAGCTCATTGAATACCTCCTCCCTTTCCTTTGCAGTTTTCCGCAAGTGGGGTTAAGGAGTAAGACTCCAGAGATCCAGTTATCAAAGCCTCACTGCTATAGAAACTCCTCAAGGGATGGCAAATGTAAACCGCTCATTAAATATCTCACATACCTACAAAACTGTATTATGGTTCCCAGAAGGTGGAAGAGAGAAAATGCTGCAAAATAACAGCATTGTACTGTATATATGTTTGCCATCTCTCTGTGTCTCTAGACTCATAACAGCTACATATTCAGGCTTTTCTTCATTTTTCTTTTTATTTGTTTTTTAATTGTACATTTTCTGATATTTACTGCATTCTTGTCCTAAGGATTGTAGACAACACCGAGTGTCACTGGAGGCTAAATACTCTTCTGCCTATAAAGGTTTTCCATAGTGAAACAGGCTAATGATACGCTGTCCTGTAGTTCACTACATGATTCAGACAGTTATGCAAAATGACATCAATACATGTCACTTCTTCCTGCAGGGTTAAGTTGGATTCTGACAACAAACAGTGTAGCTGAGAAT